ACACACACACACACACACACACACACACACACACACACACACACACACACACACACACACACACACAACAACAACTTTTTTTTTTATAATTGTGGGGCCCATCCATTGACTTCCATTCATTTTATGGTAATTTTATTTCCTAACCCTGACCACCAACCCTAAAACTAACCTACCTGACTTTAAAACTAACCTAAACTCAATTCACACCTTGGTTCTAAACCCAACCCCCACACCCAAAATCTCCCTCCGAAGTTGTGGGGCCCAAGGAGCACCCGGTCCCTACAAGGCTGCATTTTCCTTAAAACTGGGCCCCACGATGTAGGAAAAACAAGGCCAAACACATGCACGCGCATGCACGCACGCACACACACATACCAAGTTAGCATACCTTTGAGGAAGTGGTCGCTGCAGACACGTGCATTAGCAGATTCTGCTCCTCCCGACTGCAAATGTAGGTTTGAAATCCACATTTTACGGCGCTTTTCTGTGAGTTTTCTACATTTCTCACCTTTGTGCACGGCAATCTTTGGTACTCGATAAAATCCCTTGCCCTTTTCTCGGTTAGAACGATTGGAGCAGCCGTAAACTGCACAAACCATAGGCATGTTTTCAACTGCACAGAGGATCCTTTTCTACCTCACTTCCTGCCCTCCATCTGCATTCACGCTCTCGTGACACTGTGGCAAGCCATTTTAACATAAAATCGGTTTCGTCTGACTGTCAGTAATTAATTACTATCTAGATGTCTAAAAATAAGTTTTGACTAGGAACAACTATATTTTGACTATCCCGAACGATAATTTAAGATGTATGTATTAACATAATTACAAGTTTTAATTCCAATTCAAGATGTCTTAAAATGATTTTTGATTTGTCAAAATGCAATTGCAGCTATCTCAAATAGGTATTTTTGATTAATCAAAATATAATTAGAGATACATCAAATAACAAATATGACTAGTCATAATTCAATTTCAGATGTCTAGAACAGTGTTTCCCAAAGTTGGGGTCGGGACCCAAAGCGAGGTCCCGAAACATCAAGGTGGGGTCCTGACAAGATTTTCTGAATTAATTACGTTTTTGCCTTAGTTGTTACAAAGGAGTGAGGTTAGTGTATTTAAAATGGATAAATGTAGTATAAAAATATTGTTACCATGCCCATGTTTAGTTGACCTGATACAAAAGTTTATCATCCAGAAACAGTTGGGGGAACAGGTCTCTGCTACTCTTATTTTGTGGGTCAAAAGCTGAAAAGTTTGGGAACCACTGCACTTTGGTTCCCAAAGTTGGGCTTGGGACCCAATTATGGGTCATGAAGCACCTTGGATAATCTCCAGAAATCAATTTAAAGGGTAATAAAATAATTGCTGTAGTAATATTTTCCCTATAATTATTACAAAAACACAAAATAAGTAAAAATAAATATTTATATTTGTGTACAAGCTGTTTAGATTGTCAATAAGCCTGTGTTTTTACGGTTATTAACAAAGTTTGTGTACTCAGACCAGTAATATTTGGGGTCACAAGTTTTTACCATGGATATTTTGTGGGTCAGATGAAAAAAAGTTTAGGAACCACTGGTCTAGAACGTAAGCATTGTGAATCTGATTTTATGCTAAAATCGCTTGCCATATTATGTGTCATTGTTTTGCTTTACAATAAAGTTTTTTGCAGTTTCTTTTAAAGACCCCACCCCCCCATAAGTCACGTGAGTACATGTGATGTTAGTCAGACCCCGTGATACTTCTCGCTAAAGGAGAATAATATTTATAACGGGCTGCATTTTGTTGAAACAATACATCCAGAACAGAGAAATATCTGTAGATTTGTTAAAGGCACAGAAACGCCGGCGTCTCTTCCGGAGGAGTCAAAATGACGGCAGCGGTGTTTTTCGGTTGCACTTTTATCGCCTTCGGCCCAGCCATCGCTCTGTTCCTGTTTACCATCGCCCGGGAGCCGCTGAGGGTCATTTTCCTTATAGCAGGGTGAGGAAAATGTTTGAAAATGAACCTTTTCGGTTTTATCAGGATGAAGGGGGTTTATCTGTGCTGTAGAAATGGGACACAGACGCTGCTGCTTGCTCTCAGGTATCAGTAAAATGCAAGCAGGCAGCCGATGCTAACTTACAAGCTAATCTGTTAGCTATAACAACACAACAGCTGGAAATGACAACTGTGTTAGCTTTTTACTCAAATAACTACTAACTACACAGTTTGTTTTGTTTGTTCATTTTTATATTAGTTTGAGCTGTAGGTTGCACGTTAAACACCTGGTGCTTGTTTAGAAAGCATAAGTTCCATTGATTTAATGGTTTGTCCGATCATGGAACTACGAATGGGATTTTCTTTAATAGAAAACCTTTTGAACAAAGATCTACTTTTGAAGTTGCTATTCTGCTGAGATCTACTTGTCTGCTTTCAGTATCAAACATTGCATTTCTTGTCCTAGGTAAAGATACATGACAAACCAGACCTAAAACACTTAAACTTACCGAAGAAAAATGAAACAAGACAATTTCCTAACCTCAAAAACAGGAGAAAACTGGTGTTCAAACTAAAACTCTTTCCCTTCCTCATTAGATTAGTATTAACTATTTACACGAGGTGGCTTTAGGTGCAGATTCACAAATCTATTTATAAATTTCTAACGAAGACACAATAATTTTAAATGCCAAACAAACCAGAAAATCAAAACTAGGCAGCTGGATCTCTGTGGTGGGGCTAGGTGGGCTGTCATCTGCAGCAGTCCCTCACCGATCCAGACTGCAGGCTCATACAAGTCAATTGCAGCCCCACGTTGTGTAATCACACACACACACACACACACACACACACACACACACACACACACACACACACACACNACACACACACACACACACACACACACACACACACACACACACACACACACACACACACACACACATTTTGTGTCTCGTATTCTGGGACCACTTTGCATCTTGAAGGCCAGCCATGATGTCACTTTTTTTATTTTTCAAATCACAGAAAAGTGCATCTTCAGCCTAAACAAATGCTTCTTTCACAACTCTGCCATTGCTGAAAGATTTTGTGTGTGTTTGTTTGTTTGTTTGGGCGGGATCACTGCTGACCTGGTTTGCAGTCTTACCTTTAGTGYTGGACCAGTTGCTGCCTTCTGGTTTTTCAGCTCCTGGACTTTCTGAGCTCACAGGGCAGTTTTAGAGAGGAGTGTTGTGTTTGTGCTCCGACTTGTAGAGCTGTTCCAAGTCAGTCGTTGTGGACAAAGATGCGCTTACATTAGAAACAAGACAAATGGACTTCAAATTTGAGAAAACAAGAAAATAGTCCTCAACACTGTGGGTGAAATAATGTTTTGCTTGCGTGTTCATTTGTCATTTTCGAGCACTGATCAACTGTCACTACTGCTCTCATACAGATGCCCTCTGTCGTTAGGCAAGGACAGGAGTGCTGCTCTCAGTCTGACAGGTGGCTGATTGCATGGTTTCTGTGCATTTAATAGTGTAGGTAGAGAGAATGCAGTCATTAGAATAATGCTGAATTTTAAACAAGGGTTTTTTTAAAATTGTTTTCTACAGATTTTGTGATCGACTTGAGAYGATGTCTTATWTTCCTTCCATTTGTTGATGATGGATTTAACAGAACTCCTGGAGATGCTTAGAGCCTTGGAAATTTTTTCTATCGATCATCTGACTTGTACTTTTCAAAAATCGTTTCTCTATGTTGAATTAGGACAACAGTTATGCAGTCATTTAACTTACATTTTTATTTAGAGGGTCTTTGTAGAAATTTGATTTCATATTGAAACTAAATAAGGTTCATTTGAATGTTTATTTTGAATTGAAGGCTGATTTATATTTATGTATAAAACGTAAAAGGGGTTTGGATATTTTCCCAAGCACTGTATTTATTATGTTCTTTGGTTCTTACATAATTTAGGCTTAACTTTTCTAGAGCTCATCTTTTTTAATCATTAAGAGACAGTTGTTGACAGAGGAAACAATGTGTGCACCTTAATTTGAGTTCACAGAGATCTTTGCTTTTTTCAGTTTTGAATTCTAGTTTGCACAGTGTGTTAATTAGGACTTTTCAAATTAAATGAAACACTAAAATGTTTTTTTTTTATTTTTAAAAGCAGCTCAGAACATTTAGAAAGGATTTATTGAATTCATGTCAAAGTGGGAAATTATTATAATTTCATAATTCTTGACTATAATCGTCTTTTTATATTTCAGAGCATTTTTCTGGTTGGTGTCGCTGCTCCTGGCTTCCCTGGTGTGGTTCATCTCTGTTCAGATCAGTAATAAGGACAGTGCGTCGCAGCAGAAAGGTCTGCTCATCTTCGGCGTGGTCCTGTCCGTCCTACTTCAGGAAACTTTCCGTTTTGCGTACTACAAACTCCTGAAGTAAGTCACTGCCAGAGCATTTGATGGTTTTGCACTCAGCCTTCCTGTCATTCAGTGTGAATATTTTCACTGGGTTTTGCCTCAGCGTGGCCAAAACTGTGTTCCTTAAAACCTAAATACTGCTGTTGTTTGTCATCACAGTTTGATCGGTTTAGTTTTTATTCATATTACTGTTTCCAGCCCGCATTAAAACTAGAAACTGAAAATTTGTAAATGAGTGTGTACATTTTTTYCTGCAGGAAAGCAAATGAAGGCCTCCTTGCTCTCAGTCAAGAGGAAACGATGCCGATATCCATCCGACAGCTGGCCTACGGTACAGACAGACCACCATAGTTCACTTTTTTTCCCCACCAGATTCAGGCTGAAGTCTGGACATCATTTAGCACTCGTGGTCTGATGATGCTATCAGTATGGATCAAAACACAATCTATTGTGGTTTTAGGAATGTGCTTAAAAATCATTCTTCATTTTGTTCCTTTTTACAGTGCAGATGTAGAATGTGTTTTTGAGAAAAGTCTTAACCATTTGGTACTGATTTCACTGGTTTTCTCATTTTAAACTTCAGCGTTTTCAATTGAAATTTGCATTTTATTTGTTCACTTGACAATGATAGAGAAGAGCAGTTGTAGCATTTTCCAATCAGGGCACCAACTCCATCTGACCCCTCATAAAGGTGCAGCTGGGGAAAATATCAAATCTGATCTGTTGCATCAACCCCCCCCCCCCCCACCCACACACACACGCCATTGTCAGTATTTTGGTGTGAGTCACAGAAATTTGCAGTCTTCCTACTTGAATTTGGTTCATCTTCAAAAGAGTTTGGGCAAAAGATTGTCTCTCAAAAGTGTTGTAGGGGATGTCTTGACCCATCTCAGTTTAATGTCTGTAATTGTAGAACATCAGATCTGAGTTTTGACACAAAACATTTGAGTTTACAGCCCCAATTGTTCACGGCTAACAACCTTTGTCGGCGTTAAATAATAATAAATAAAAACTGGTCCAAATCTGCCTTCCTTTTATTTTAAAAGAAACCGATCAAATCATAAATGTGGCAGCAGCTGCCATGCTTGGTACAAAGTGGGGCAGACGGGTGTGATGAGTGAAAGAGGGCAATTAATTGTGCACGGACAGGAATACAGATATTCAAGCTGTTCAAAGAAAAAACACAATAGGATAAAAAAAAACTGGTCATGAAAAGCATAGATGCACAGCTCACTGCTCTCAAACACACAGAATCCAGAAAACTGAAATTGCAATCGAAAATAAACCTTAGCTGTTAACATCATCTGTATAAGTTTGGTTARCTTTGATGTTCTCCAGTCAGGTTGACTCCAAAAACCAATGAGTTGTAGATGTACAACATCTTACTTGTTTGARATATTTTGTTAAAAGACAGACAAACAAACGCACACCTATTTGAACAGTTTTCACCCCTCACCGTGTTTATGGTGGTGAACAGAAATTACTCATGTAAAAAAGCTTTCTAAGATTGAGGCATAACTACATAAGAGATAATTTAACAAAAGACCAATTTTAGATTTTAACATTTATTACTTTCAGTTTGAAAAACATAATTTTCCTACCAGTTAATTTGAGAAATGTGAAACATAATTGGCTAATAACTGAAAATAATGATCCAGTTTTGGATGTATATCATCCAGACTTCCTTATGGAAAAAAAAAAAACATCTGTCTGTGGTCTAAAGATGGTCTTGTTTCTGTTTGTCTCAGTGTCTGGCCTCGGTTTTGGCTTCATGAGTGGAGCGTTCTCTGTGGTGAACATCCTGGCTGATTCTGTAGGACCCGGGACGGTGGGGATCCATGGAGACTCGCAGCATTACTTCCTGTCCTCAGGTTTCAAATGTCATGTTCTTTAGCTTCGACTGTCAAGTTTTAGAGTTCCTRTTGCTTTTAGGAAGTTTGTAGAGGAGTTCTCAGATTTGTACAGCTTCACGTTAAACCCTTTGTTCACTAAATTCAGTATCACAGTAAATCTTTGCTTATCCAAAACAGATTATTTTTTTTATGCTTTAGAGTAGCATGTTCTTGTGCTGTAGTGTGGTGWGTCAAAGGTTACAGGACACCCTTTCATTTCAGAAAGAAAAGGGAAAATGAAATATCTAAATACCTCAGCAAGTAATGGATGAGAGGACCTGTCTTTTATATTTGTCCAGAACATGGTCAACATCTTAAAAGCTGCCCTATTGGATCAAAATTAAAGGGTGACTTTTGACTCACCCTGTACAGTTTTAATATAAGGATGTACAACCAAGTTTAAGAAACTTTTAATGTCACTTTAATGGGGAAAAAATAAGGGATTTTTGTAAAATTGTAAAAAATAGCACTTGCTGTGAACTTTTACACCTTTTAATAATTTAATTAAATTTTTTTTATAATTATTTGTTGTCACACATTGAAGGAGCACATCTGTATTATTTACACTTTAAAAAAACAACCTAAATTGTGACTAAGTGCTTTGAAACAAACACAGACTACTTGATGTCCTGATGCATCTCAATAATCCAGGTAGAAAAATCTAAGAAGTTGAGTCAGTTCCTCTGGACAGGTTCTGTTTGTTGAAACATTTCATCTCTCCTTCGAGGGACTTCTTCAGTMTGAGGAGGTTCAGGTAAACTCAGCCTGATAAGCACTGCCTCCATATGGTGGATAAACAAGTTAACTGATGACAATCAAAACTGTTCACATGCAACAGGACCATCAGTCTGATGGTAGATCATTAGTGTCCTGATTATCCCTATTGTTCTCAGAGAGCTGAGTCATTTTCACTATAACAGCATTGTAAGAGGGGGACAAGTGGACATGGAGACCTTACCCCCTGTTTAAAAACATGTTTTTTCTTTACAAAAATGTCTCTTACTCCTCTCTTAAAACGCTGTTCCTCTCTATCAAGGATGAGAATATCTTCATCCCTGAAAGAGTGACCGCTGGCCTGTAGATGAG